ATCTTTGGCTGATCCGGAGGTTCTACTTAACATGTCCCCCCACTGTCTACTACCGCTGTCACTGATGTTTTAACAGGAGCTGACGCAATGAATCGACATCTTTCTGAGCATGTCTCACATGGTTACCTATGATTATGGATTGTTGACAGAATCTGAAACGTCAGGAAAATAAATTCTCTTTCCAGTGATCGCACATTCTTCTTCTGATCTTTTTGATTGTCTTATCGAACCCAAGCCGCTATACACAACCAAATAAATGCTTTTGCTTCGATCGACATATCAGCATATCATTCGCAATGCTCAACAGCAAGCAAATTTGCCGCCCGCTTCTTTTGGGAATTAAATTAGTTGTCTTAATTTCCAAGCCTATTTGCAACTTGATGTGATCAGTATGCAAATTCCGAGGACGCCATTTTATTTTTCTCTCAAATTTATAGAATTTAATTTACATCTTTAACGCCTAAAAATTGACTACGGGCGTTCGGTAAACTTTCAATTAAAAATGTACTTAGGCCAGGTTGCCAAAAAGAAAAAACAGGACAGAAAACGGTGCGTTAATTTATAAAAGGTAGTAGACGGATTTTGGAACAAGCATCTCTCCAGCTCAGGATATAAGTCGCACTAGGACGAAAATAATCATCATATACTTACATTTTCCAGGATTACCGCTGCCCTTATGAATGCGGTCCTTCATCGAAAAAGTATGTTAAATCGAGACATCTCACACTCAAATGATCATTTCGGTTAAATGTGCCATCATGCGATAGTCTTATCTCAATCTCAGTTGATGCCTAGTACAAATCTCAAGACATGGCTCTTGGAGTCAAACGCGTTCTGAGTGTGAGTATGAACTGTCCCAGAAAAGCCTCCCTGGCTACTGTAAAACTCAGTGCCTATATGTAAAGCAGCATGGAATATTTTCTTAGTTTTGTCTTATGTACACGTTATACTTGAGAAAACGCAGTACTTTTTTAAAATTTTGTGCGTACACATGCTTGTAAGATGTTTTCACACATTTTCACACATTTCTCGCTATTTCCCCATACTTTTTATTGTTGCTCAGAAGTTCTGCAGGATGGACAACACTCATTCAGCAATATGAGGGCGCTCTGATACTCTACACGAACTGAATTATAGGCATTAGATCCCTGAGCTAAAAAGACAGGCTATTCACGCTTCGACCTATGCAAGACAGTTAAAAGCTCGTCGGAGCACATGCCAATCCCTTAAAGATAAAATGTAAAGCCACTGTTTATCGTGGTGGTAATAAAATATGCTGAATTTTGAAGTAAACAGACAGAACCTGGATATATTAAAGGCCACGTAGCACCATTTTCTAATAAAAAGCACGCTGACAAGTGTCGTTTGGCGCCATATGGGCGGCGCTCGACTGCGCAGATTTAGAAATTGAAAACAAAAACAGGATGTCAGCGTCATCCACATGGCTTTGTATCATCTAAGCCACAGTAATAAAAGTAAAAGGAAGTATGATAAGGGTAGGAAACGTATAAAACGAAAATAATAGCTTTTTCTTGAATTTGTATCACTGTGACATGTTCCAGGTAGTTTAAAACGATACGATTAATTAGTGTGCGCGGGCATTGTGAACTAGTCAGCCCTATTAGAGGTGCAATGTTGTGTGTCGCCAACACTTGGGGAACAATTTAGCTTGATTTAAGTGCAAGTTTTCGAAGACGCACGCCTGTCGCGGCCCGAAAGCGTTCACTGGTGACTGAACATTCTAATCTCACATCCAAGCAGCGTAACAAGCACGAATGCCTGAAAATGTGGTAACTGCTAAATGAAACAAGATCAAAGGAAGTGTCAAGAGTTAGATATTATCCTTGGTAAAACGCATTTGGCGTATACGAGGGCGCACGGACCATTGTTCAGCGATACAATCAAGTAAATGAAAAAGTTCGCATTCCAGGTATCTGCAAGGATGATGAAGAAGTGCTGTCCTCCTTAAAAGAACGCCCAACGGTGAAGTTGAGGGACTGTTTACAGGAAGACAACAGACACAACACAACTGCTCAGTTTTTGCATTAACCGTTGGGTAACCCACAAATGAAGCTGTGTAAAAACTTTCTTTATAAGGATTCAATCTCACTGTAGTAGGCTGGAGGAAACAGTACGCCAGGCCCGATATCTCCGCAACCAATTCATGCGGAATGGCTAACCCAAAGCATCCATAAAGTGATGCCTACGCATACGATCCTGGAAGACCCAAAAGAAGAACCACAGAGAATATTGCACGCTCTGCCATACATCAAAAATGTTTCAGAAGCGACCGAGTGCATCGCTGTGGGACTAGGCGTCAAAATTGCACACCATCCCAGGGCTACCATACGTAGCTAGATAAGGAAAATGAAGACCAGCTGAACCTCAATGAATGATTCGGGTTAGTATATCACATTCCATGCTTAAGTTGTCATTTTTACTATACAGGGCAAACTGAACGCATGCTCGATTTGCGAATACACGAATATCAACTGGCTGTCGCACGAATGACGCATTGTCGCGAGCGGCTGTCCACACCTATTAGACGGGTCACGATTAAATTTCGCAACTGCGAAAAAATTGCGCAGGCCGGCAAAAAGAAAGGACGAGAACTAATTAAAGACAGGGCCTTGGATGACAACTCAGTGAACCGATGTATCGAGCTGGCGCTTGCATGCATCGCCCTCCGCAAGCATATCCGCACGCCCGACACTGGTGATTTATGCGTTTGCCCCCCCCTTTAACGGTTGATTGGCGCCTGTCCCTTATAATTGTTGCTTTAATGTGGACGCCTTTATCTCTGACGATGCACGCCGCAAGAGCCTGAAAGCTCAGAACAATAAACAAATTGGTCCGGTACACGACAATCCTTCTTTCTCATACGACCTAGTACTTAGTCGAAGTCTAATGCGCAGGTGATAATTATTTTCACTTTCACTTCAGTACAAACCCGCCAACAGTTGTCTTCTTATTCCCGTTCATGTAAAGGTAGGCGGTGTTTCGCGTGTTCTAATGCCACGCAACTAATAAACGGAGGGCAGACATTTGAAAAAGGTAGACATCTCCTTGATTTACAAATAAACCAGACACAGAAAGCATTTTTACCGTCCTACCGGTCATCAGTTGGCCTGACATGTACTTTCTGAAGTGAGGTATATAAACATTCATTGGAACCAATTGTTAAAAAAACTCGGTGGACTCGGTGTGATTCGTTCAACGAAAGTAAAATGAAGACTTTAGCATAGCCAACTGACCAGCCAACGACCAGGAGTCGTGAATTTAATTCCACTTCGGTTAATTTACCCACCCAATCTACTGTAACTGATGTAATCCACCATTTCTGGCACGGTAAGCTGACTGCCGAATTTTTTAAAACTAAGTCTCAAGCACTCCACTTCTTCGCTTTGAAGGAAAGGATAGACTGCCGTTTCAGACCACTTAAATATGTATTTACAACTTATCATGCTCCTGTGGAGCAAGTTACATTGGTCGATCGATTAGGCGTCTATCCAAGCGCATGCGAGAGCACCACTCTGCGTGGCTAAACACAGGCGAAATAAAGTCGATATCAAGCGCAATTCTGGCCCACTTGGTAGACAGCGATCATCGGTTAGACGTCAGCTAAGCGTTTAGAGTCGTCTATAAAGTTCCGACTAAACAGTCTAAGTTCCTGCGTCAGCGGATACTTGCGACGGTAGAAGCAGTCGCCATACGCCCTACAAACCCAATTTTATGTGCGCAGAAAGCATTTGTAGCGGCCTTAAGGCTCCCGGGGCCGAAGGCCATTTCCACATCTGCCCTCACGCCTCTTACCACGCCGCGAAACAGTGATGAGACTCGGCGTCAAGCATTAACAGGCCACCGACGCCGTCACAAGACGTCGACACCTTGCGTCCTCACACCTCCCAACAAAACTCAAAACGAGGACCACGGGGCGACAAGAACGACGACATGGGACACGGGACGACATGTCGGACTTCTTCCCCTTCCCCTCCTCCCCCCACCCCCATTTCTCTGGTCCCCTATGAAGACTAGAATCTGATCCGATTGATCCCTTTACAGCTCTCTCCCCCCTCTTCTGTTTGGTTTGCCTAAAAACTTTCGTTACCTCTACCCTCCCTTATATTACTGTATCGTGTGATGATAAATTAATCGAAAACGTTCGTTCGCCTAACTTAGCTTCCTTAAGTCGAACGCATTATTCAAATCTGTAAAAGTCCATAAAATTAATATCGCCTGGTAGTCATCTTGTGGATTTTAAATTGATTGGTTAGGCACTGGCCTTTGGTAGTTAGCTTGCTGCATGAGAATTGGTGGATTCCATAAGTTGTGGTAGGGTGGACAGATAGCTTCATGTAAGTGGGATTAAACCCGCGATTGCCTGTGAAGCCTCACAACTAAGTTATCTAGAGCTTTGGTTAAACTAAAGTTTTACCCTTACTAGTGGGGGTTCGAATCCGACCAAGACTGCCAAGGTTTACATGATTCTGACAAATGAAATATGCTAATCAGCACGTCACCTGCCGTTACGGCTGCCGAAAAAAGAGCTTTTTATAAGACAGCCTTTTCTAGGAGGCCCAGCAAACGAATATTAAAATGACGTCTAAGGACGTCCATCACGCGTGCTTTCCTGGCGGCTAAATTGTGTCTATCTTTCTCAAACTCTTC